TCAGCCAATAGTACACTTGACTAAAAGAAATGTGCCTTTTGTTTGGAATCAAGATTGTCAGGATGCTTTTGATCTGTTACAGTCAATAATGTTAGAAATAATGCCTTACTATAAAAACATTGATGATAATCATGAATTTTTTTAATTACTGATGCTTCTAAAGTAGCTATTTGTGGTATACTTTTGCAAAAAATTGATGACAAATTCTTTCCTGTAGAATTTTATTCGAAACTTTTGACTCCTGCTGAGTCTAGGTATCCATCTATTAGACGTGAGCTCTATGCTATATTTTCATCTGTGAAACATTTTCATGAACATTTGTATGGAAAAAAAAAATTACTATCTTAACTGATGCTAAACCTCACACTTTTCATATGCAATTGGATAAGCAGCCTGATATTGTGGCCAGATGGTTATTGTATTTACAGGATTTTGATTACACTTTAAAGCACATACCTGGTTTTTCTAATCCTGCTGATTTTCTTTCCAGAGCTCCTGGAAAATCTCATAATGTAAACAATTTTAACTTATTTCAACCAAAAAATAATCAATTAAGCATTCAAAATATAGTTAATCACCAAAAAGATGATAAAATCATCAACGACATCATAAACAAAATTAACAAAACAATTCTGAGATTCGTAGCAAATATTTTATTGATCAGAAAAATGATATAGTAATGATTAAGTTAAGACCTAGAGCACATCATTTAAAGACAAGGCATTTAGAAAACAAAATTATACTTCCAAATTCTTTAGTGAAGCCTTGTTTAGAGATTGCTTATGCTCCACATTTTGGTACCAACAAGACTTATGAATTCATAAAAAAGAAATATTTCTGGAAGGGCATGTTTTTAGACACAAAACACTTTTGTGAAAATTGTCAACAATGCTTGGAAAATAAACCCAAATCTTCTAGAACAGTCACAAGTAATATAAAAAAGTCTGATTTAGCCCCTGGAGAGATTTTAGCTATTCACATTGTAGGTAAATTACCCAGGTCACACGATGGTAAATTTTTCATGTTAACAATTATTGATCATTACTCGAGATATTTAGAGGCTATTCCTTTAACCAATATCACTTCTGCAACAATCATAAGATGTATGAATCTGTATTTTTCAAAATTCGGTATTCCAAAGATAATATTATCTGATAACGGGTCAAATTTTTGCTCGACTGAATTTGAGAATTTTTTAACAGATTTAAATATTGAACACAGAAAAAGTTCCATTTATTACCCACAATCGAATGAGATCATAGAACGAGTTCACAGAACTATGAAAGAAAGCATAGCTTCATTATCTAATCAGGTTTTTGAATGGTCTGATAGATTGGCATTTTTTAAACTGTATTACAATAATTCAAAACACATAGTAACTGGTTTCACTCCTGCTCAGTTATTTTTCGGGCGAGAACTCAATACACCTTTAGACTTAAATAATGAACCACATGCTGTAGACAATCCTTCACAATACTTGTTGCGTCAAGAGGAACACATTAAAGCCACTAGAGAATTAGTGAAACAAAATGAAGAAAAGTATTTTCAAACTCAAGATAAAGTTGTGAAGAGCAGAGAAAGTCCTAAATTTAACATTGGAGACGAAGTATTTTTAAAGGCTTTACAACCACCTCATGCCTTACAGCCAAAATACACTGGTCCTTTCAAAATCGCAAAATTTTCCGAAATGAAAACTATCTAATTCAAAATATCACTGACAACAAAACTCAAAAAATTCATTGTAGTAAATTGTTCAAAAGAGTTCCTCTGAGGTCAAATTTAACTAATTAATAGCATTGTTTTCATCGAGCTTGTTTTTCTTGTTCACTAAGTAAAAAAAAAAAAAAAAAAAAAAAAAAAATCTGAAATGTTTCAGATTTTAAATTACGTCCAAAGGGCGTTTTTTAACATTTTGTGTGTTACCTTTCTTTATTAAATATCATGTTCCTCGCACTTAAACCATAAGATCCAGTGCAACAGCAATATCGCAAAATAGTTTTAAAACGAGCATATCTTTAGAATTTCCGATACGGAGACTCACGCGCTAGAGATAAAAATGTTTTTTCTGCACAACGTTGCCATTGCTCGCTTTGAAATCCTTGAGTTTTTTAATCAAAAATTCGTCAAAGTTTTAAAAAATAGGAAATTGATCATAAAACAAATTCAAAATTTCATCGATGACTCTATGTACCGTTATTTTATGACAATGTGAGAAATATACATACATTTACGCAGATTTTCATTATTTAATTTCTTCAAATATAATGCAGGACTCTAACATTTTATGGCAACAGTTTGAAAAGTGAACCGACATTTATAGGAGTCCGACGCAAAATGCCAAAACGAAAGCAATAGTCCTTCGGGACTCAAGTCCCTTTGGACTAAAAAGAGAGAGAGAGAAAAAAAAAAAATTCTAGAACACTTAGTGGTTATTACAAGTATCCAACTAGTAGTGAAAATTGTGCTATTTTCTAGAACACTTAGTGGTTATTACAAGTATCCAACTAGTAGTGAAAATTGTGCTATTTTAACAATTTGAGAATTTGGAATAACTAAGTTGTAAAAGAAAATTTGTAGAGATTTAAAAGATTTGAAGAGATTCTTAAACATTTACAAATATTATAAGAAAAAAATGTATGGTATTTAAGAGTTGATAAAATGATATGATTTGAATATTGTTAAGTAAGAGATATATAGTAATCAAGAGTTTAACAACAGTGAAAGATTGTATGAAATATGAGATGTTACAAATGTAATATATCTACAGATTGTAGTGAAATCTATGCTATTGTATGTGTATCATGTATTTTATGTATTAGTTCTTAGTTTTAATTTTTAACTTGACTCATATGTGTAGCAGCTTATCCCCAAATTTTTTTTTATATTTATGCCAGACAATAAGATTTTGATAATTTAATAATTGATCATAATTTGGATTATGCCAGACAGATATTTGATTAAATTAACATGTGCTAATTTCAAATGGACAACAGGTCCTAGAATTCTGATTTACGTGATTGCAAATACATCAAGTCTCATCTGCAAAATTAGTATTGTGCTTCATCAAAATATTGTGATATGATTTTGTGAACTGTGCTACGTTTTTTTTTCTTCTTTGGCCGGAGGGAATGTGCAGGCAAGCCTCCACATTTATTCATCTTCAAATCTCTTCACTGCGACCGCTCAATGACAGAGCGAGGTTCGCTCTCTTCTGTTGCGAGACTCCGAAGGTGTAGGGCGGCCTTCTGCCCGTCCTCACCGGAGATGATGCGTGTCTGCAATTTGTTCCTTTTCATGCATTTCTGACGACCACCTCCATATAGTTTCAAGAGAATGCAGTTTTGTCAAAAAATAATAGTAAGCGGATGAAGAATTAACTAAATTGATTTAGATGCTGGCTTCTGCGGTAAATGAATGGTGTTTTACGACTTGAGAGGAATTCCCGTGCACGTGTCGCATCTTGAGTTGTCCTCATGTTTTAACAAAAATATATTGAAATAATCATTGAAGTAAAAGTTCTTCGCTATAAAAATTGAATTCTGTTATCAAGTAACTTTGTGTAACGAAGATGAACTGAGATTTATTAGATTGGATCTTTAACACATTTTGTGCACGAATGGTTAAGACTCAAAAATGGTAGCACGTGGTATATTGTCTTATGTCTGGTTATGTTTCTTAATTTATGCTAATATCAATTTACATTTTCACGATGTCAAGGTACAATAAATTTCTCGTAATTCACATTATTTGAAGTGTCATCCTTTGGGGGTAAGTTACTTTAATTCTACTTTTTTTTTCAGATCACACATTTCATCTTGCACGTATCCACGTTTTGGGTTATTGCGGTATCACGTTTAGCGGCAAATATCATTATCACATTTGGCACCCACACATTATTACATTTGGTGCTTATTATTACAGGTAAACGACCCTTACATTAGCTATCTTGATTCACTGCAGCTTGTGTGAAATACATATGCGGCATTATACAAAATCGGTACGAACAAAGTATGTAAAACATCTAATGATTGTATTTGGAAATTTGGCCTGCTCAACCATCCGAATCTATAGAAAACATCGATAGTTATATCATTAAAATCATCCACAATACAGAGGCATATCTTTCCTCATTTATTTTTAACAAATGCCCGAATTTGCATATATTTCTAAATGCCTGAAGATCATGAAAATGATTTAGAACAGATGACAAGATTACCAATTAGAATAAAACAACAGTGTTTCAGAGGCACCACTCCCCGTTCATTTAACTACTAACCTGCCTTGCTGGAAGATGCACAACGTCGTTTAAAAATCAGTTTTTATTCAATAACATATATGGATGCTAGCCTAACCCATAGATGTGTCACACCAACGTAAATTAGTAAAAACATTTTAACGTAATATAATAAAAGTATAAATCTTTATACAGTGGTCCCTATGCTTGGATCTCAAGAACCCTTTTGTTTCTTTGTGATGGCTAGTGCTACTACAATCAATGGTCAAAATTAGTTACCCAAAAACATAGTGCAAATATTAGCAAATTGCCTAACAAAACTCAAATACTTATAACTACACTGTTATTAAGAGATCAGAAACTAGAAGATATCTTTATGGACCAGAACTGAAAACGCGACAGTGTTTCCGGTAAAATTTCGAAATTATTAAAAAATATTCATAAATTATAGCAAAAACTTGTTAAGAGTAGATATAAGATTATGAATTCATTCAGCTGCTTTTGACGATAGCTGTATCAGTGATTTGCTATGGGAAAGAATATGCCTACCTTGTGTTAGATAACAAATTAAAGAAAAGATTTCTGTATATTTATTAATTTCTAAACTTAAATCCCCAAATAAATCCAAAACCACACTTTATAATTTGTTGTCACCGTAAACAATTGATATCTAGAATCAATCACGTTAGGATCCGTTTTTCTACGAGGATAACAAAAAAAAGTGATGAAATTACGATGCTTTTAGAAACGAACAGACAAAGCGATATGAAAATATTATGTGAAGTCAAGTTTGGATATTTATTAAATCGTATTAACTATATTTGTGTTTAATACATCTCAAGTGATATACGTAACGTATTTATGTCCGAGGGCTCGAAGCTGCTGCAGATTTTTTCGGTCAGACTGATAGATCCTGTCAAAAGTTCCTTTATAACTGCTGAAGATTCTTTTCCGCAGTTCCTTTCATATTCTTCAAATGTACATTCAAAAGCTATTTTGTTTTTCCTGAAAAAGAAAATAATATTTAGAATACTTATAATTTCAAAAGAAAAGTGACTTATCGGACAACGTTTTTCGTTATTGTCGTACTACCCAATAATGGTCTTTTCTAGAATGAAAATATAATAACTTGAAAGCTTAAAAGGTGTTGTTTATGTTATACAGAAATTAAAATTTAACAAAATTCAAATTTAAGTGTTAATTTCACGTTATAAAAGTTCATTTCCTCGCAGGAGATAAGCCATGTAACATATAGCATTCAAAAAAAAAATTACTAAAATTGTAGTTTTTGAAAATCTCATGAATAATCTCATATTCATTAAGTGACTTTCCAGTATCCATAGTCATGCGATGCCATGAATATGTATAGATGAGTCGGGGCCAGTTTACAAAAAGCCACTCCATGTGCAATTACCTTATCAAAGTTACGCTTCACCCCTTAATTTCTCGAAACAGTGTACTTTCAATAAACAACAAGTTGCTTACTTATAAAACCGTATTGCGTCCCATACTATGCTATGCCTGCCCGGTCTGGGCATATTCATGCAAATCTTATAGGAAAAAAAATTGCAACAGGCACAAAATTGTGTCCTAAGACACATTACCAATTCGCCTTGGTACGTTCGAAATCAAAAGTTACATGAAGAATCGGGCAGAGAACAAACAACTTAAGTATTTTTACTGCCGGCTCACCCGGAACTTTTATGCTAATCTTGTTAATATGAACAATTCAGTTATACGGATTTACGATTACGACTTAAATGACCCAAATAATAGTAAACGGCCTATGGTCATACTTAGTACCCATATTGTATAACGTATTTAATCTGTTATGTACCTCTTAATATTGTGTTGCAGATTTAAGGTTTAATTATTACTAGTGCACCAAGAGACTCTCACTACTTAGCCTATTATTTATATGTATGTTATGAATGTTTTTTCTGCATCAGGCTATAGCCAGCTCATTCCTTCTCTCTCGGCTATCTCAGATAGTACTTCTGGTCTATTGAAACTTGATGCACACTTTAATCTTTTTAGAAATTTATCTTTTAATTTATCCCTTACCTTATATGTATTCTTATAACTTTAAAAAATGTTAAAAAACATGATTTAGTAATATATATATATATAAATTCTAAATATATACTAGTTAAGCATGACAGTATTCGAAATAACATATCTATTCTACAAGGGGTAGTGTCCTTGACCCAGGCAGCATGGTGCTACACCGTTTCCCTAGTGCGTCATCCATTCTTCATAATTTCACATACTGTTGCCCTGTATTCATGTTTTCATGTATGTAGAATTTATATATTCTGTATTGTATATATGCCAATTTATATTAAATGATCATTTTTACAAATTCTTGCATCATAACTCTAGTTAACAGAAGATATTTCTAACACCTTGGTAAAGCTTAATCTTCAGCATGCAGCTTATTTTCTAACCTAGTTTCAGGCTGAATTATTTGTAAAATTAATTATTTGAAATTATTTATTAACAAAGATGGTCGCTAAATCACGCTAATAATATTTCTAACTGTTGTAATTTATAAAGCAACGAGTTCATGTGATTTATAATATAATTCATTTATCATTTGTAGAATCAAACTCTAAGTTTGCTCCAAACTATCCCTTGATGAAGCACTAAATTATTTAAAAGCAATAGCTATTGACAGGGGCTTTTTCCCCAACATTATTAATCAAGCAGTTAAAGAATTCTCATCTCAACACAGTAAAAGGCACACTCTTGTTTTGGGAGATTGTAAAAATTCTGTTTTCATTACCTTCTTTCCATCAATTAGCTATACAGTTGGACGTATTTTGTAGAAATTTAACTTTCGGGTCGTTTATTCTCCCATCAATAAAATTCCGAGTTCCATACTCAAGGACCCCATTCCGGATATGAATTCCTGGGGTATTTACAGGATTCCTTGCCAGTGTGGTTTAATTTACATTGGCCAAACTAAGAGAGCCTTAAAATTTCGCTTCAAAGAACATGAGGCATATGTTAGAAAAAAAGAAACACTTCTGTTGCCCAACATTGTTGGTCCGAAAATCACACTTTCAATTTTTCTGCTGCCAAAATTATTCAAAAAACATCTTCCATTGGTGAACTGGATTTTCTAGAGTCATTTCACATTCAAAAAAAATCTTTCTGTTCTAGTTAACGATCTTGATTCCAATCCATCTTTGCCTTCAGCCTTTAAAGAAATTATATTTTAGTTCTGGTTTCATCAACAGATGGCGCCATTAGCTTATCTCCTGTCCATGCTTTCTTATCTTATCTAATCATTATACCCTATCTCGTTCATTTGCGCTTTTGCAGCTGAGGATGGTGGTTCGGTAAAACCATCGAAACTAGTCCTGTGAAAATTTGAAAATATAACACTGATTTTTGTTGTTTGACTTCTGAATTAGTATTTGTTCGGCGTGTTATTATGTCTTTATTATAGGAAAGTTTGCAAGCATTTAAATATAGAAAAAGCATTTAAATATAGGGAAAGCATGTAAGTATAATATGAATGTAAAATGAGTCCTAATATTATACGTTTATATTTCTTAGCATAGAATTATTATTATTTTCATGAATTTTTATTCCATCTCTAGTGTAAAGCTTTCATATTCATTTTACAAAAATTATTTTATTTTTTATTTATTTATTTATTTTTTTTTCTGCTTATTAAAGTTTTAAGAAACTTAACCATTGTTTAAGCCATTGTTTTAAACAAATTAAAGAATTTGATAATTTTTAATGTGAATATTCTTTGAAACATTCTTATAAATTAAATAAAAATTCGACATAATTATATAAAGCTAAATCATAACTAAAATTTAATCAAAATGGTGTACAAATTTAAAGGTGTTAATGGCAAAAATTTAAAGAAAAGGAAATTCTTAATTCATACGTACGCACAAAGCTCTTTTGTAACACTGTATGCAGCTTCGATAACTTCAAGTACACCTCCGCACTTTTCCGTTACTTGTGCCATATACTTATTAAGGCATTTGGCATTACCTAAATACTCTGAAATGTAATAAACAAATAATCATTATGTATACATGCATATATACAACATAAGAATTAAGAAAAAATAAAAGTAAAAAAAAAAAAAAAAAAGGATTGAGTTAGTGCAAGCCCTTGTTAAAATGCTCGTTTTTAATTGTTGCATTTTATTAATTATAAAATTATTTATTAATTTGTTGCTAAAAAAACCTCATTTTATTAATGAGTGCAGTCTTTACAAGCGAAGACTCCGCTAATCAATTATATGCGTGATTGTTTTAGGAAGTGTTATGACTGTTTATCTAACAACGTTAGTTCTTTTATTACAGATATTTGTTACATTATTAATTTTATCTTAGGACGTTCGCTCACACATTCACACACCATATATGTGCAGCGGCGATATTGTGTATATAGAATACAAAATTTTAATCTTAAACCCTTAAGTAATTTTTTTTATTATGTGATGTTACCATTTCTATTCTAAAATAGCGCAACATTTAGCATTCGTATTTATGCCCTAACTATGTACATCTATTTTCTTTCAAGAAAATACCGTTACACTTTATATTTTGTTGTTTAATATAAATAAGTACATGAAACTAGAAAAGCTATTACGCAATCAAACTTTATATGGAAATCTGGTAATCTGTGATAATAATATCTTGGGAAACATTTTAGCAATTTTAAAATGATTAATTATATATTCAGGTATTGTGAAAGAGCTGTTAACAAATATAAAGTAATCCATCTATAAATCTCTAGCGTTTAACAGATTGTGTTTTTGACTGCACTGGATGAAATCTAAATTTTTCCAGTCCTCAAAAGGTCCTTGTAACACAAAATATAAACATGAGTATCATGAATCTTGGACATGGGTGTCCATAGCCGCAGACTTACTTCGTATGTCTATGCTTATAGCCATTCACCTTCTTAAAAAATAACTCTTCTATTTTCCTGTCAGAGATCTAACAGGAGCTTCACTTTTATTCTTTCGACCCAGCCCTCCAATAGCCACCTGCAGGAATATATTCGAGGTATTACTAAATTCCTTGACCTACGCGAACTCAAAGTTGCGTCATGTAGTTGATTCAGCCGATATTCTGCATAAAACTGACATTGCTCCATTACAATTAATTTTTTCCGTGTTTCCGATTAACGGATTTCTTTTCTTATAACAAAGAACCCTTTTGGGCCCTTTTCAGCCAGCCCTTTAGGGGAACAAGGGTTTTCCTGAGCGGAAGAGAACGTTTCCTAAATAGAATCTTGGAAATGACTTACATTGTTTTTTGTTACTAGTTGCTCTTTTTTGTTACTGATTAAATAAATAGCAGAAACGATAAGGAGGAGAAATTGTTTCGAGCGTTGGTAGTGGAAAAACGCGTTCGAGCGTTTTTGGAGATTTCCCTCTCAGTAAAAATACTCTGGTGTTGTTCGTGAGTTCTTTTAACATAAACTTCATTGTTAAGTTTTCAATAAAACCATAAAAAGACAATCTGTGTGATGTTTATTCCATGTGAGAAGATTAAGGTGGGACAGTACCGTTCATGTATATGAAAGTGTTCACAGCTTAATTAAGCTTAGTTAATTTGCATCACATATAAATAAGCGCATATACCTTTCTGGTTCAGTTGACCAAATATCTAAACACAGATTTGGTCACCTGGTATCTCATTAAACTGAAATGCTAATAAATATTGCATAGATCTTGCTACGAAATTCTTGCCAATGTAACAGTAAAAAGGCATTTCGCGGGAATTTTATTAAAAATGATCCTTGATTAAATCTCAAAATCTCATGGGCAAGTACGATGAAATGTGATATGAACCACACTGAAGGACATTTTAAATTCACGTTACAGAAACTTAAAATTTCGTCTATATACTCAATAAAATTCAAGTAAGAAATAAAAAAAAATACTGAAATAAAAATTTGAATAAAAATTTCCCAAGAAAAATTTGCCTAATAGGTATATATAAAGACTTTACATTGAAAAACTTATTAGTGTTCCCTCTCTTGACACTTGAGATATATGTTAACTTGAAATGATATGCTAGTAAATTCATTATTTTTATCTTCAGTTGCCATTACTTTGCTAATTAACAGAAAATATGTTATACTAATTCCAATTATAAGGAAAACTCGACTATTAAGAAAACAATTTTGAGTAAATATTCTTTACTAAAAATTTAATCAGTAATAATACAAATTACCACAGGAAATTTACAAAAGCCCTCTACAGAGTTTTCGGGCTAACTTTGTTTATCAAATTCCAGGGCACTATTCAAACAATAATGGACATCATTTATGACAATAACATCGTAATTCGCTTTTCTCAATACGTGAGCTTATGGGTAGGATTTTGTATGCAATTGTTTAATTCAGTAAATATCGGCTCTAAGAGATTCGAAATCTTATCAATGAATTGCAATAAAGTTTTACCGTAAAGCGGGAATTAATCTTGTTAGTTTCAAATAAATTTTGGTTGGAAATGAAACAGGGTGCTATGCCTATGATCTTGAGACAAAACGGTAGTCATTTACTTGGGTTGAAGAAGTTTCACAAGGCCACAAAAACTTCGGTTTCAGAATTCTCCAGTACAGACCATATTTATGAACGTTTTTAATTCGAAAGGAATTTGTTTCTGAGGAAGAGAAGAGATGGAAATTCTGAAGGGAATTTATACCGTTAGGCCCGAGAAAGCGCAATCAAATAACTAGTTTCTGCTGTATGACAGTACAATGGTTATCACTTCTAAAGTTAAGTTTCGCATTGAATCCCCTAGGCGGCGCATGATCGCTTCTTTTTCGGGCGGTTCACAATCATCTGCTGTATGCAAAGTTTAGATGGAGAGATATGTGCAAGCAGCCAAATTGAAAGCACATAAGCTAAGCTATTTGCATTCACTTCACCTGTGAATTCACGTGTTACATAAAATTTTACTCTTCAGAATGTTTCTCTGTCCTTGTGACCGTATGAGCCATCCCCTACTTTCCATCCTATGTTTTTGCGACAGCTATTGCCATGTTAAGTAAGTAAGATTATGACCAAGCTTTTGCCATATTAAGTAAGAACGAAATATAACCAGACATTTTTATTGGTCCTCAAGAGGATCTAATTAAAGCCGTTGTTTACAGATTGCCAGTTGATACTTTGGAAAAGTATATCAAGAATTAACTGCAGATTTTAAACTGTACTTTCCAGAGTGAAGCAATTTTCTAGAAAGAGAGAGGGTACAGAAGAAAAACTTCAAATCTTCTATGTTAAAGTTGTTAGAGATAATGTAAGTAAGATGATTTACGAATTTAAAACATTCACTGCACTGCAGTTTCGAATTCAAAAATTCAAACCGGGAAGACGTCCTAGGATTTGTTTCAAATGCCAGCCCTTCGGGTCTAACCAGTAAGGTTGTTTTAACACAGTTGAAGATGGGCATGGAAACTGTCGACTTATTAATCGAACTCGGCTTTAACTCTTCTCTCTAGACTACTGGAACATTTTAAAGGATGATTTCTCTGTGGCACTTAGTCTCACCCTATTTCCAAATTGGCTCTGATTGGGACTCCAAATGTTAGAGTTTATTGAAATATGCCTATTGTTCATTAGTTTAGCAGAGCTTTCTAAAGCCATACAATGATTAAGAAATCATAAGCAATTTGTGGTAAAGCAATAAAGCATCAAACTGAACTGAAGGAGAGGGCAGACAGGCCGAAAGGTAGAGGGAGTGGGTACGAAAGAGCGACGAGCCGAAGCGGACTACTTCATCTAGTGTCTGAAAAGGGCGAATACCTGAACGAAGCAACGAAACAACATTAGACGAACTAGTAAAGAATATTGGACTTTCAATCCTTGTAGCATACTTGGTACAAACTTCTTTTAATTAATGACAAGGTATCATTTTTCAGTTTTTCTTTGGTTATGCTAGTTTACTAATCGCTACTTAAATGGGGCATAATACAAATAGTTTAGTTGTTGGGTCGGTAGGTTTTACTTGAAGCAGGAGACATGAAAAATGTGCAATATGCTCACCGGGACTCGGACTCTGGACCTCTCAAATACGCACTGAGTGTGCTTCTAGTTACACCACGAAGGTTGCGGAAAGGAGAGAGAAATACTTTATATACTTCCCCCTTTAAAGAGTGACTGGGGGTCAGGGGACCCAATCGCGAAATCCTGGTGGCGACGAATTATCGTCCACCACCTTTTTTTTTTAGTTCGGGCGCTAATTATATTGTCATTAGGTTTTTTTTTTTTTTTTTTTTTTTTTTTTTTGAGTAAGAGGCGTGAAAAGTGTGCTATGCCTCGCCAAGATTCGAACCCTGAACCTCTCGAATACGCGTCGAGTGGGTTTCCAATTACATCACTGCGGCTTGCAGAAAAGAGAGAAAAAAGGCCTTATAAAGTGTTAACAGAATCTGTTTTTTACCTTATGAGGTATTTCTCTCACCTTCTTTGCGTGCCTTCGGGTGTAATAGTCTGCACTCTGGGCGCGTATTCACCCAGGTCCGTAGTTCGATTCCCGGTGACGGTGTTGCTCATTTTTCATCACTCCTGTTTGAATGCGGAAGCTACGTCAAGCGATATTATACACGTATGGAGGTTATTTTGTCTGTTATTTAAGATGATGTCTTGAACACGGTTGAGGGCGTCGGTGGTGCTCCGCCCTTTAGTAAACCCGAATTGGGCGGGGTTTAGTAGTTTGTTTTTTTTGACCAGGTAATACGTTAATCTCTGCGTAAGCATCTTGTCAAGGACCTTGCCCCACGCTGAGAGTAAGCAGATAGGTCTGTAAGAACTGGGCATGGACTTTGGTTTTCCCTCTTTCTGGAACAATACTAGCTCTGCGTTTTTCCATTCCTTTGGAAAATAACCTAATTCAAGGCACTTGTTAAAGAGTGCTAGAATTTGTTTGTCGTCCGCGAGCCTAAGCTCTTCAATGGTTTCAATCGTGAGGCCATCCAGCCCAGGAGCTTTACCTCGGCGTGTTGAGTTAAATCTCGTACGTTGCATTTCTTCGAGTGTGAACGGCTGATCGTCTTCCGAGTTTGGAATCTCGGTTGATTGGGAACGGAATATATGCATGGTATATGTAGAGTCCTCGTTGGGGTCGGCTTCTGGAAAATGGAACCTCATGATTTCTCTAATTGTATCCTCAATTGTGCTCGTCATTGTGCCATCTTCTTTTTGAACTGAGCCTATCTGTAATGGATCCATGCTCTTCCCGTTAGCTAGATCGAAGTATGTTCCGAACGGAGAGCTAACAGTGATTTTGTTCCATGTCATGTCCCATGCTTTTTTCTTTTCTTTATACATCTTTTGCCGGTACTGTGCACGTACCCTCTGGTAAAGCAGCCTGTTATGGGTCCTTTCCTCTCCAGTTGTTTTTTGGAATCTTTTCCTTGTTGCTCTGACCTTTTTCCTGAGAATAGTGAGATCTTTTGTCCACCATGGACAGGTGCGCGGTGGCCAGCGCTCAAAACAAAACTAAAAGACCTGCGATGTCCAAAGAATCTTTACCAACTGATCGCAAGCTACCTCACAGAACGTCAAGTGACCTACAAAAGAGACGGCTTAAATATCACGATGAATTACCACAAAGGAGCCCCACAGGTGTCTAATATCGGACCCATCTTGTGGAACATAATTGCAGACTCAGCGCTGAACATCAACTTTGGAGACAATGCCAAGATACAAGCTTACGCCGACGATATTATACTCATAATAGACGGAGGCAATAGGACAACAATAGAGCGTAAAGCAGACGCAGCACTCAAATTGCTTGCAAAATGGAGTCAAGACAACAAACTGTGTTTCAGTATTGAAAAGACACAGATGATAGTCTTTCCAAAAAAGTTCAAAAATAGACGCGAATCCACCACGCATAAAGTGGGAAGGGCATCCACTGCGACGCCAGAATACCATTAAATACCTCGGATTCACGCTTGATAAGAAGCTCACGTGGGTATCACATCTTACGGAAGTCCGAGATAAGACGCATCGAATCATCAATAAACTAAACAGGATAATCACAGACAAGTGGAGCCAAAAGGGGCGCCTGTTAAAACATCTATACCTTAATGCAATTGAACGCATGATCCTCTACGGCTGCCCAGTCTGGATGAATGGCACAGCAAGAATATGTCAAAAACTACATCAAATACAGCGAGTAATCCTGTTAAAAATCACTAGTGCGTATAGCACCACATCAACCGCAGCACTTCAGGTCTTAGCTGGCACGCTCCCACTCGACCTAAAAGCAGAATTAGAAAGATCAATCTATCGACTTCTACATTACAAAGAGGACCTTCACACTAAAAAAGATTTACATCTATCATATGCCAGCATAGAAAGCTTCCAAGATTCCCCTAACTTACACCCAGGAGATCTACCCATCCTTTCCTGGTGCAAATCGCCACCCTCAGGACAACAAAGAGAGAGATTTTTTCTGACGGTTCAAAAATTTCAGGACGAGTAGGGCAGCGTTCACGGTCTTTTCGAACAATGAAGAAATTTATCAAGCACAATTCCGTCTAAGCGATCATGCTTCAGTCTTCCAAGCCGAGTCCCTAGCACTCAAAGAAGCAGCACTATGGTTAGGTACACAACCAGCAGCCCACACTTCATTCTTCACAGATAGCATGAGCGTTCTGAATGCGCTGAATTCCTTTCCTCCAAAACATCCGCACACACGGCAGCACTTAGAGAGATCTTCTTGACGTTAGGCTCTTCCATACCTTTAAAGATCAACTGGATAAAAGGACATACCGGGCAGAAAGGCAACGAACGAGCGGATGAACTAGCTAAGACTGCAGCTCTCAAACCAGAAATTGACAAGGAAGTTCCGCTTTCCGCAGAAGTTGCAAAAAGGCTCCTCAAGACAGCATTTCAAGAGACATGGTCATCACGATGGCAGGAAGAAGAGACAGGAAGATTTACTTACAACATCTTCCCAATACCTTCTCTCAAGAGGCTGAAGTGCAACTGACTCTTCCTCCAAGCCTGTACCAACCACGGGAAATTCCCAGCGTATTACAGACGTTTCCTCAGACGGGACGTCAACTGTTCTTGCGGTTTTCGCGGGGAAGACGCGGACGCACTTCATTACCTGCTCTCCTGCCCTCTGACAGAGCACCTTCGACAGCAGTTCTTTCCTTCCGACTACATCACATATCCTGTGAATAGACTGTTCACGGACTATTACTGCAACAAGGGCATCTTAGAGATAATGAAGCAAGTGAATGAAAATAATTATATCCAAGAAACTACAGATTAAAGTAAAATGTAGAAAGGCGGCCTAACCGTCAGATTGCTAGCAATGAATAGGATAACTTCCTAACCCTGTAGTGCCATTAACTCAGTTTGGCGGAACAGGTTAAGTAAAGTGACCATATCACTCCTGTTTCTGAAATAATCTAATGTCTCTACAGTGGCTAATCCTGGGTATGGAGAATCATCATCCACCACCCGAACTAAAAGGGTGGTGGATGGTGATTCTCCATAACCAGGATTTGGCGATTGGGTCCACTAAAACCCCAGTCGCCCTTTAAAAGGGGGAGAATATAAGGTATTTTTCCGCGTTCTTAGCGTGCCTTCGAGGTGTGGTGGTCTACATGCTGGGCGCGTATTCCAGAGGTCCGTGGTTCGATTCCTGGCGAAGACTTTGCTCATTTTTCATCATTCATGCTTCCAAAATCCTAATGTCTACAACCTTCTGATTAAATGCAATCATATGGGGGGAGTTGTTTCATGTCCCCATAGCCGCACACCGTCACACAGTTTCCCTCTATTCATACACTTTCTAGGAAAAAAGGTGTCTGAGTTTCCAACAAAGCCAGATTCACCAGATTTGACTTCTGCAGGTTTATTATATCTTCCTTTTAGGGAAGTATCAGCCTGCAAGTTCATTATTTAAGTAACATTGACGAAATTGAGAGTAACGGAACCGAAATTTTAGGGAGTTTTCCGAAAGGTAACTTTTTACGAAAGAATCAAGCAGCTGTATAAATACGCCAAACGTTGACTATACTTAAGTGAATTGTAAACAGAAGACTGATGAACTTAGATCTAAAACATTGCAGACCCAGTGCGTAGTTTAGTAGTAATAAATAGTTAACGTCAGACTGAATGAAAGTAACTTCCCATTTAAAGATACATTAAAATATAATTCTATCTAGATTTCATGTAAGAATAAAGAACTTTTAATAAAAAAAAAAAAAAAAAAAAAAAAAAAAAAACCAGTTTATACGGAAAAACAACATTTTTATTTATGAGGAAATAAATTTCTAAAAAATCTGAACTTACTTTTTCGAAAATCAGCACCTTTATTGCATACCTTACTTAGTATTATGTACTGATCTTTATAAAATTGATAATACATGTCCTCCGAAATGTCTGGGCAAACGACTGCTTCGTCGAAGACACATATCTCGAACTTCGTCATAACTCTACATTATCAGAACAGAAAAGAGTTACATATTAATCAAGAAAAATGTAAAGTAATTTAACTAATTACTTACTATTCAATAGACATCAATCAGTAGATATCTATCAGATTTAATATGAAAAGTAACATTCTGTCTATGATTCACATATTCTAACAATATTTAAATATCAGTTAGTGTAACAGGATGCATTTGCTTTGTGTTAATGCTTGTAACGTAGCAGTTTCACCATTCACAGGTGACAACAGGGCCGGACATCCGGACAGCTTTCAAAGACTAATCGGGTATAGTCTGGGACCCGTTCTATCTAGAGCGTAACATTTAACAACATAAAATACCTAGCGTAGCATTACCTACACGACAGGTGGACATTGCATGGCAACATAACATATTTACAACATTAAATACACAATGTAATGTAACTTACACGACAGGTGAACATAGTATAGCAGCATAACATAGTTAGGCATAGATAGGACATAGCATAGTATTGCAACATAGCATAGCATGGCATATGGACATAGTAAAGCGACATAACACATCGAGGATACATATTTATGTAGAATTTGACTTAATTCACAGCATGAGAGCACGAAGTAATAGTTAAATGGTTTATTTAATAGAAAGAAATAAAAGTAAATAAAGATGAAGTTAACGGTATGCAGGATTAACATAATGATGTAAAGGCATAACATCGAAAGCACAATTAAAGTTCATAAACTCTTGAAGACGTGTGAGCCGTCTGCTCACGTCTGCCATCCACTCTCGACCAGGTCTCAGCGCTGTCTGGGATGATTCTTACTGCGCTGGGTGATGCTGTACTGATGACGTCATAACGGGCAATTCTCATTCAGCATTGGACGGTATGATTTCCCACAGCTTCGGCCAGCCTGAAGAGGCATCGTCCTCGATGTCTGTTGAATGGACATCACTATCATGTACCTGCAAAGATAATAAAAAAAACAAAAAAGAAAAAAAGAGTATCAGGTCCTTAGGCTTTGAGCTGATACAAGCATTAAATCAATTTGACCATGGCTTCATATGGTCAGCCGCAGTAGATGTCAAATTTGGTCCTTCATGGCATCCTACTTTCTCGACTTCATATCTGTCATTTGATCGAACAGCTATGATTTTATACGGTCCATGAAACTTAGGTCGTAGTTTGAAACCAGTCCCATATTGAGTTCTCTGAATGGCTACCAAGTCGCCAATCTTGTATAGTTTCGTTTTCGGTTTCTTACGTTTCTTGTTGAATTGTTTACGATTCTCTTCTTGTATCTTCAAAATGTTGTTTTTAGCATCTTCTCTCATTTCATCACGTTCTTGCATCAATTGTTTTAGATATCTTCATTCATTCATTCATCTTCTTGCATATAGATTCTTCATTCAATATCTCACTAATTCTCAAATCTTCTTTGTTCTTCATTTTCGTGCCTATGAGAAGCTCAAACGGTGAATATTTCGTACTTCTCGTAGTTGTACTGTTGATTATTCTCTGAACATCTGGAACATACTTAAACCATTTCGTTGAATCTTCATGTGATAATTTTGACAAAACAGGAATCAAAATTCTATGAATTCGCTCAATTTGTCCGTTACCTCTTGGAATACCGGTAGTAATTTTGACATGTTCTATTCCTTCTTCAGTACAATAAGCTGAAAATTCTTTCGATGTAAAGGCACTACCTCGATCTGAAATGATTCTGGCTGGATTTCCAAATACAGTCTGTTGTTGCTTCAATTTTGAAATAACTTCTTGCGTAGTTGGTGATTTCACTGGATAGAACCAAGTAAATTTCGTAAAAGCGTCGACAACAGTTAGAATGTGTTGGTATCTCTTGTTCGTCGATGGAAGAGGTCCAATAAAGTCGATATGATACGTACTCAAAGGAACGTTTTCTTTCGGTACAGGATGAAGAAATCCTTCTGCTTTTCCTTGCTTCTTGTTGTACAGTATACATTCTATACAGTTAGCAATTACTTTTTCAACTTTGCATTTCAGTCTGGGAATATAGAATTCTTGCTCTACAGCATTCACAGTTTTATCTACAGCAAAGTGACCTTTTTTATGTACCTTCTGTATGATTTCGTTCTGTAAGGATTCTGGCACTACTAGAAGATCTTTACCATTTTCAAATTTGTACAAAATATCATTTCTCACGAAGAATCCATTTTCTTCTCCCTTCTCAACTAAATTCTTGATTAATTTCACATGTTCATCTTCATTCTGTTGTTGTACTAACCGAATCTTCTCAGTTACATCGGATGTGTATGATGTTAAAATTAAAGCATTTCTACTTAAAGCATCAGCATGTTTCATTTGGCTTCCTGAACGATGTACAATTTCGTAATCGAATTCTTCAATAAACATTGCCCATCTTGCAATTTTAGGAGTTAAATCTTTCTTATCTAAAGTTTTCTGAAAAGCACTACAATCAGTTACAATTTTGAATTTAGTCCCTAACAAATAGTTTCGAAATTTCTTCAGAGCTTCTATTACTGCAAGGGCTTCTAATTCGTAACTACAGAGTTTCTCTTGCTGCGGTGAAGTCTTCTTACTCATATACTGGATTGGGTGATAATTACCATCATCAGACAATTGGAGTAATACCGCACCAAAGCCTTGACTACTAGCATCAGTATGAAGTTCTAATGGATATCCTTGCCTAAATATGTGTAGAACAGGTGCCTGAGAGAGAATTTCTTTTAATCTGCAAAAAGCTTCCTGTTGTTCGGAATCGAACTTAAAACCAATACCTTTTCTAAGCAAGTCACTAAGAGGTTTAGCTATTTTAGCATACTGAGGAATGAATTTACGAAAATATCCCGTTAGTCCTAAAAAGCTTTGTAGTTGTTTACAGTTACGCGGTTGTGGAAAGTTTCGAACAGCAACAGTTTTGGAAGGTGATGGTCGAATAGTTCCGTTTTCAATTACATGTCCCAAAAATTCAATTTTACGTTTTAAGAATTGGCACTTTTTGAAATTTATTTGTAATCCATACTCCGAAGCAGTTTTGAATACTCTTTCTAATTTGTCTAAACATTCAACTTCATCATTAGCCGGTATGACTATATCATCCATATAAATAATTAGTACACCTTCATTTAGCAAGTCACGAAATACTGAATAAATATACCTTTGAAAAACATTTGGACTAATACATAAACCAAAAGGAGCTTTAAGAAATTCGTAAATACCATTATGTGTTACAAATGCGGTATATTTGGTGCAATTTTCGTCTATGTCTACATGGAAAAAGCCATTTCTCAAATCTAGTGTCGTGAAGACTTTTGACTGTTCTAAGCGATCAAGTACTTCCGAAATTAAAGGCAGTGGAAATTTGTCTTTAATAATCTTCTTATTCAATTTCCGATAATCTATACATAAACGTTTCGAATTATTACGCTTGTTACACAAAACAATAGGCGCCGAATAATTAGAATTGCTAGGCTTTATTATGCCCTCTTTCAACCATTCCTTAATTTGATCGTCAACAATTTTTTGTTCCGCGAAAGACATGTATCTTCTATTTTGACAGACAGGAATATTCATCGCATAAATTTATTTGCATCTTGAAGTCAGATTGTCTATTTTTCCGAGGCTGGTACGAATACGAATTAATTAAATTACACAGTCTTTCTTTATGTTCTGCATTTGAAATATGCGATAAATCAATCTCGTTGACAGAAATAGCATTCACCAGATGTGAAAGGTAATTAACGTCGAGCTACTTCCGCTTTCGGGACTTTTGTTTACATTAACAGAGACGCCAGACGATCGCGAAGGATCATAAACATTCTTCAATGAGACAGCAATATTCAAATTTCCCATAACGCAACGAACGTTAGAATTTCGATATGACTCAGCAGTTATCAAGTTTACATTACTTTTATTCCGATGAGAAATTATTTGAAGGCCATTCTCGGTAAAAGAGAAGTTAAACTGACTCAATACATCCAAACCTAATACAATTTGATTACATAATGACTTAACAACATAAATTTTCGTACGCAGTGAAAAACTATCAATTGAAATATCAGAAATGAAAAAGCCGATGGGGTACGTTTGCTTTGATTCAATTCCGTTTAATGTGATATCGCTACAATTTAAATTAGGAGAACCAATCTGCTTGTGTAACTCTACGCTGCATATCGTTACATCTGAACCAGTGTCAACTAAACTATCAACTAAATGATTATTTATTTCTACAGTCTTCATAATTCTATCCTTGTCACAAATTCGTTGTAATAAAGCTGCTTGATGTGTCGGGGGTCTGCTCTGGACAGTCCGTTGAATAATGCCCGAAACTTCTTACATTTTATACATTTTACACCCTTTGATTTGTTTACACAATGCTTAGAATAATGCCCAAATTCCTGGCAATTAAAACATTTGACCTTATTAACGTTAGATTGATTTCGGTTTGATGACGAAAGCTTACTTCTATCTTTAACTTGAGTGTCTACTTTCGGTTTCGGATTTTTAAACTTATCATTGTCCGATCTCATTTTATCATAAATTTTAAGCCTTTGTTTAAATTCAGATATTGTTTCGCAACCATATAGTATAGTTTTCCTAACCACAGAATCGGGAATACCATCAATAACATATTTAATTAATGAAGCATCTTCAATGTTACCTCGCGAACACATTTCTTTCATTTTCAAAAAATACTCATCTAAAGATTCATTAGGCATTAATTTACGTTTACATAACATTTCATGCAACTCAGCAGAATTAAAAGCTTTACCATATTCAGATTTCAAAAGCTTTTTTAACTTACACCAGTCATTAACTTTAGGTTCACTCTGAATAAATAGTTTCGCTTTACCTTTTAATGATCTTTTAGCAAAAACTAATTTATGCAAATCACTCAATTTCAAAGAGTTTATAACATCTTCAAATTCATCAATCCATTTATCAACATTTTCATATGCATTACCAGAAAAAGGATTAACAATACTTTCAATATCAGAAAAACTAAGATGAGGTTTAAAAATGATCTTGAATTGGAAGCTGCATACCTTGAGGATTGTTGTCTCTTTGATTATCATCAAGCATTACTTCAGAAATTTTATTAATAGTTTCATCTTCAATATCACTATTTTCTTCATGCAAAATATTTTCAAATAATACAGATAAATCACATAGGAAAGAGACAATTCGGGTTACGACTTCCGTTTTTGAAACCTTCTGAATTTATGCACAGTACATTGCAAACTTTAATTAACTCATTCAAAGTAAAACTATTCTGCACTGTATCTATTTTCTTATTAAATTCTTCAGAATCTGGTTTAAATATAAAGCCAGAAAATTCACGTAATCTTTTCCGGTTATTTCGATCTCCATCAGTATTAAAAATAAGCTTATGCAAACTTTTGATTTCAGAACTTTTACTGTTCTTTAAAGCTGCTTCCAATTCTGGAATTTCTACTAACTTCATATTGGAAAGAAAGTTTTGTACTCACCCGACAGATGATCGTCGTCAATTGGGTAATCCACACTTTATACGAGTAATCCAATAAATCGAATAACTTGTGACAACAGTTCACTCAGTTCACAGTTCAAAGCACAGTTCTAGTACTCGCACATTTTGGAATTCGAGGCCGCACGGTTGGTCGCCATATTTTTTTTTGTAGAATTTGACTTAATTCACAGCATGAGAGCACGAAGTAATAGTTAAATGGTTTATTTAATAGAAAGAAATAAAAGTAAATAAAGATGAAGTTAACGGTATGCAGGATTAACATAATGATGTAAAGGCATAACATCGAAAGCACAATTAAAGTTCATAAACTCTTGAAGACGTGTGAGCCGTCTGCTCACGTCTGCCATCCACTCTCGACCAGGTCTCAGCGCTGTCTGGGATGATTCTTACTGCGCTGGGTGATGCTGTACTGATGACGTCATAACGGGCAATTCTCATTCAGCATTGGACGGTATGATTTCCACATTTACAACATACAATTCGCAGTGTGGCATGACCTATACGACAGGTGGACATTGCATGGTGACATATCATAGCGTAGCGTAGACATAACATGACACAACATTGTAACATGATAGGACATAGGATAGCATAAGGATTGAAACAAGGTCAGAACCTGTAAATTATGTATATATTAGGTAGGTATATATCAGGTATTGTTCGGCGACGGCCTTGCTATTAAGCTTCCGTCCCAAATTTGGCAGAGAACACTCGGGGGGTGGGGCGGTAAGGGAGTCTCCCACGCCTCTTTCCTCCCTTAGCAAGTCCTCTCACAAGCCCCCTTGCCAATTTTATAGGGATTAGTTTATAAGCTATAACGCAAGGATAATTGTTTTTGGGCATGTTTGGGCTCTTACTCGTCCTCTTTTGTGTTTGGAGCTAGCCCAGCTTATCGTTTTTTGACCAGAGGGCAATTTAATTTGCTAAGCAGCTCGGACTATGCCCTGAAAGTAACCCCTTGCCGTACAGATATGGTTAGCTTACAACATTCATGCCTTCTCTGGGATTCGATATCGAACCCATCGGCACGGCAATCAGCGCCACTAATCCTACCTGGACGGCTTAAAGCATTCTCAGCTTGTTGACAGCTTTGGTAAAATAGCTGTGCATTTTTGCACTATATTTCACCTTTAACTGAATTTCGCTTAATTGAAATTGAGTTTAATAAAGAAATAAAGAAAATATGATATTGACACCTTGATTCTGGAAATTAGTAATACATACTTTTGTACTTAAAACATAATTTAAACAGCACTATTGTCCAATTATTCAGCGATGCATACATATTTTAAGAGATAAACGAACCATATTAAATATTATATTGCATGTAAATTCAGCTTAGTCAAAAACTAGACTAAAGTCTAGTCTAAACCTTTTACACTGCTCCACGATTTATTGTTAATTATTCCCTTTGCCTTTCCATTTCAGAATGCTAAGCAAATATAATAATGTAAAATCTCTAAAGAATTTGATTCAACTTCAATTTGAAGTTATAGAACTGAAACAATTTTAAAACATTATTTCACTGACTGAAGCTGAGTAGACACAATGATTTAAAGTCTTTAAAAATCAATGTTTGAATCACAGGCAAAACTTTTGCAGCTATGGGCTTGTTCCCAAAGGAGAGGAATCTGCGTCTGATTGCTTCTGAAGTCGATAGAATTTTATTCAAAAATTACGCCAGTCTAAGGTTGCTAGTTTTAAAACTTACTGAGAAAGTTGTAGAAACATGTTAAGAAGGGTTGCATCTATTTTATATGGTAAAATTAGAGCAATACGGTATTATGAAGATCGTCAGAATGCTTTAACTTAATCATTATAATGCACAAAACTATTTATACGAATAACTGAAGACTTGATCACCTACTGATAGTTTTGAAATGATTATGCTTCCGCTGTTCAAAAAATGCATATCCGAACTTTGAACTAAGATCAGTGATTGCAAATAGAATCTGCAGTTTGTTTATGCAGTATATTTATATACAAAGCTCATCATAAATTACCAATAAGTTATCTGAAAAATTCTTAAAAGAACACCAATCGAAATCTTAGGAAAAAATTCTTCACAAAATGAAATTTTTCATTTAGAATTGAACAACTCACTTCATTTTGAAAAAAGGAAACGAATTTCTTTTTCTGTTTCAGTAATTTAAGAAGAGTAAGAAGAATTGGGCATAATGATTATTGAATAATGATTATTGAATAATGATTGATTGAATGAATGATGACAAAGAATGAATAATGATTATTTATCCATTGAAATTATAGAACGTTATCAAATGAAAGGAACGCCAAAAAATCGCTGAATTTCTTTCAGTTGTTGAAATTAAAAGTTAAAATGTAATTTTTGCATCTATTTTCTCAAAACCTCTTTCAAACTAAGACACCGTATTTACTAACGTATACTTTCCAACTCCTCGCATATTTTCCTTCCTAGCTTTTTAGCCCTAAGCTCTGAAATGTTGTTAATTATTTGCTTGATTTCCCCTTCTTCCTTTATATGCAGTTTTCCCTCTGAAGACTCTTTTATTGAAATCATATTCTATTGATTGCTTTTACTTTTATTTAGTGTATTCAATTCGTATTTGCATTCTTGTATTGGCATTTCACTCATTTTATTTTCCCTTGAATTTATTATTTAAAATATATTGTATGCAGATTCTTCGTTAAGCTACCAGGACGTGCAGGTGTTTTCACATATAAGAAACTTTCCAAACATATGGTTTCACCTTGCTTCTATTATTTACATTCAGCTCATTGTAGCCTAATTTACTGCTGATATGTTCGATCTTTGGGAACCTGGGTCATTTGTTTGCCCCCTTCTTCTTCGTTTCACCGATATTCCTTCTAGAACTACGGTTAAAAGTAGTTTAGCCGGACACGTCCTTTCTCGCTCTCTGCACGATGTGTTCAGCTCATTTTCCGTCAGGTATTGCAATGTTGATATTACTATGCATTCTTATTGGAATATAGGTTTGTTTTGAAGAAATAATACCGTGACAGTTAACAGAAGTTTATCCATATTTACTTTTCATTTTTTATGCTCTTACTGTAACCACGTTCTTCGGAAATTAAGTTACTCGCATAATTTTTACCTCTCGATTTTGGACGATAAAATTAATTAAAAAAAAAGGGAGGAAATAAATGAGGAAATGTGGCATTACCTTGTAAAGTCAAGAACTTAAATGCGAAATTTTATCTCTAACTGTAGATGAACTTGTGCAATGATTTGAAAGTTACGTATCTATTGCTAATTTTATTTTTCAAAATAATGAATAGCCAAATTTCAAGTCTCTTGCATTTTCTATAAAACTGAAGAGGTCACCTGACAACCTGAATACGTCAGAATAGCTTCAAAGGCCAAACTTGTACTGCTGTTTTTAGTACAGGTAACGACATTAAGGAAGGTCCGGTGGCGCAGTGGCACCACAGGTCCGGGGTTCGATCCCCGGGCTCAGCAAAGTTGACTCAGCCTTTCATCCCTGGAATGGGTCGATAAAATGAGTACCAAGTTCGCTTGGGGACTAAACACCGGAAGGGGGTACTGCGACAAGCTGACCACTTGTCCAGGCTAAGATTCACAAGCACCCCGAAGCCCACGATCAGAAAGCAGATATCAGGGCACTCCAGGTCATGGCTCTCTAAGATCCGGTTTGTGCAGCCGAGTTTAGCTTAGTTTAACGACGGTAAGGAATTAAAAATAATCTAGAAAATGCTTCTAGTGTAAGAAGATAAACAAACGAATCCGCTTTAGATGTTTACTATTTATTATGTAACGGCTACAATATATGAAAAGTGTATGAAATTGAAACATAATTACTGTTCCTATACAGATAATGTTTATATACATATATTATTCCTATACAGATATGTATATATATAAGTTCATTTTAATGAAGTTTTGAATTTCATTCTTTGTCTTATTAAATATTTAGAATGAAAACTAAAACGAAAAACAAGCACTCACTCGCATTTTCTATCCAACATTTCTTCATTTTCATCAAAACGATCGGCTATAATATCACTTGCACCAACGGAAAAAATGCAATCCAAAACCACGTCTGCAAGGCATTGTTCATCGATACCGCTTGCAGCCGAGAATACTGAAAAAAAAATATAAAACAATTATAGAAAAATAATTATTTAATAATTCCTACATTTTATTTAATCAAATTTAGGAAATCATATTCAAATTTATTCAAATTCAGCGTAGAGGTAGGAAAAAAGAAAAACATTTTAATACCTACTGAAGTTAGATAAGTGATAGTATGATACCCTTTTTATCCTAACGTTTCTGCATTCCATTCATTTCTCTTTATGTTGCGTGCATATGAGCCGATGTTCCGTCATGCCTTGTGATGCCATTTCATTTAAAACCGCAAGTGCTATTTGTCTTAAGAGACGGGGAGGACACCTTCATGAAAGATTTTCAACGGCAAACTAGCTGATATTTATGATTTTTATCAGAACAATTACGAAAACCCAAGCAGCCACTAAGTAGTAGATTCATTCTATTGCTGGATTACTTGAAGCTGAAGGACAGGAAGAAGAATCTTTCACTAGCTGGGTAATAATTATGGAAAAACTTCAAGAATGATGCCTTTATGGGTAAATGGTATCAAAAGAGTGAACATATGTCCATGATTGAGAAAGCTTGTAAGAGGAGTGAATTAAATGATTAATGGAGTTTTCCTATAAATTATGGGCAATCCTCAGGCTTGATCAAAAGCCAAAAGCAAACTTCCACAAGAAACTACTATCTACTATATGGACTTCCACTATGTATTGTGTTTCCAGTATCTACTGTACGAAATTTCTGTACCCACAAGAGACACAGAAAGTCCATATAGTTGATGGTGATGGTAAATGACAAGCATTTTTAACAAAAGGTCAGACCAACAGAGAAATATAATTTATATTCCTGCTTTTTACACACACTGAAACCTTTCCTTCATTTTTATTTCTTGTACGAAGTAAAAGATATATTGTAATCACGAAAAAAATAAAAAAAATATCCATTTTGACCGCTATTGAATGTAATTTCACGATGTTTTTGTGTGACATCTGAACGTAAGGACAGAATAAAGGACTCTTTTCTACCAAACGAATTATAAAATTGATTTTAAATGGATTCATAAGAGACTTTTCTTTGTGACGTCTGTACTCGCATAACTCAAAAGCGAGTAGTTAATCTGCATGCTATAGTTGTAGAATTATCAACAATTTAAAAGTTTTTAAGTGCAGTTAAGCCTAATTTTTTTTTTACCATAGCAGCCATATTTGTCTACATTTGAAACTTAGCAGAATAGTGAATTCAGTCAGTCTCTGATTTTTTTGCAAAAGAAAATTTCAGTTTTGTGCACCGAGAAATCTGCCTTGTTACTTGCTGGCCAAATTTCTTTTTTTTGCGTAGAAACTCTAATCTTAATTGTAAAAATTGTTTTTTTAATTATTTAAACCGTATTTGGTGTTATATATATATTTTTCAATTTTTAATGTGGATACCATGAGGCTTTATACATTTATGCCTCACCGCGAAGTGAGAACTGAATTAATTGAATGAGAAATATATCTTGAATGAAATTTAATGGAATAAGTTTAAATGAAATGCAGCAAAAAATGCGTAAATTTAATATTCCGTGCAAAGAACTCATTTCGTTTTCGTATCAGTCTTTTGTTTATATTTTTAAGCCCTTTGTCAACATAATAAAAATTAGCGCTCGTAATCATTACGCTGTTAATTCTATTGATTTATTATTTTAGACGAGTGAAAAATATTAATTGAATATAATTAGGTTATAAGAAAAAGAAAATTTCTTCGTTTAATGTTTTGTTTAGTGTTCTCTGCTTTATAGCACAATAAAGGCAAAATCGAGATTATATGCCAAAATTTAAGGACTTTATGTAAATCACAATTAATTATTTTAGTTTCATTTGAAAAGATAGCTAGTTGTGTATTTGACGGAACAGAAAGCAAATAGGTTCTACCCATTCGGAAAAATTTCACTTCATAACATATTTAATCTGATATTATGATGTTATCCTAAAGCTACTTTTTTAACATGGTAAATGGAATAGACCCACTCCCCCGAAAAAAAAAAATATGAAAATGAGGTATGATGTTTTGTATCATCAAACTATTTTTATATAAAAGTCATACACACAAACATAGAAAGAAAAAATATTGAGATTTGAACCAATATTGGTATTGCCAGGGTACTGTAAAGAATAAAATAACGCTAATAACGTTACAGAAAGAAATTTAGGTAAAACCAAATTACGAAAGCGAAAAGAAAATTACAGAGGAGGAAAAATTGACCTGGTCCGTAATAAATTTTCTACATTTCGTTATCAAATAACCAGATATTTTTACGCGTCTCAAAATAAAATAACATGCTTAAAATAATATAAATAAATCATCGAATAAAAATAATAAGCATAAGTTGGGCCAGAGAATTAAATTTGGAACATTTTGCTTTTTTTTTTTTTTTTTTTTTTTTTTGTTTATTATGTGTGCTCTATACTTATGAAGCTCGATGCTCTCGATAACTTCATTAGATGCTTAAATTTTACCGTTATATGGGAAAGAAAAATGGAAACAGTTTTGAACAAACGTCCGTACAGCCCGTCTGACCAAAAATAAAATAACTTAGTTAAAACTACTTGAGAATTATTATCGAGAGGAGAAAATCCTGGTCTATATATTTAAATCTGTATCATTGTTTATTAAGCATTAATTTGTTTTCTTGCAATAAAAAACAAAATAGGATGTCTAAAATAAAGCAAATAATTAATGGAAATGAAAAGTAAAAACCCATGTATTGAATACATATCTTCTTATTTTCTTCCTTTGATGTAGCTGTTCCTGATTGTTAAATTAAACCTTACTTCACTTTTGTTTTTATATCATACAAAATTAAAGTTCTGGACTGTACGACACTGCTTTAATTTCTTAATAAAACTCGATATAATGAAGCATTAATACTCTGTAAATTGGAACCAATATAGTACGCCATGTTTAAAATGACGGGTTTTCTATGATATGCAAAAATAAATTCAGACATTTTAAATTTATTGAAGTACACGGGTTTTAAAACTGTGTGTTTCATATGTTTGAAAATCTGATTTGCGCATGGCTGACATTAATTTTATCCCTTACATTATTTGTTTTCTTTTTGCTTTTTTCGTTAACAGTTTTGTTTTACTCCCGTTGTTTGTGATAGTGATTTTTCTATCATTCCTTATCAAAAAAACTTAATTTTTTGTTTGTATACAGGGCTCAGTTAATCCGCAACTAGGTTTATCGGCAATCAACTATATACGCAGAATACCTCTCTAATATAATTAATTCAAAACGTTAAAATCATCATTTCTAAACGGTTGGTCATCTTTCGATCTGACGGTAAAGCATCATGATAGTAACACGAAAACACTTCTTCGTTAGCTGTGGGACTGATAAAAATATCATTCCCACAGCTGAGGGAAAAGTTTTATTTAATTGCGGAGCCCAAATACTGTAAATATACTTATTATCCCTATTGTTTAAATTAGTTATTTTACCATTCATTTCTTTGATGCATTATTTTATTATAATTAGTAATGTACCAAGTAATATTAAATAATCGTTTATTGACAATCACTAGTAATACAACTTGAAAATTATCATCAGTTAATAAATGTTAAAAATTATCATCAATGTAACGTGCACTGAATGTTACTTACCGGATAAGAAAGCAATGAACGTAATCAAAGACAACATCTTGAAAGCAAATGTCAACTGCGCATCAAAGGAATTTCAGGAAAAAAGGCTGAGGGAATTAAAGTATGATTTTATTCAAGTATTTTTTATCAAAATCTAATAATAAGATAGAAGACCGAAACAGCTCCAGTAAAACCGGTTCTATTGGGAAACAGAATTCGTTCTAAATAGATTAACTATTCCAGATATGAAAATTCAGCTGAGAAACGGAATTTTCATACCCGACGTCTAAACTTACGCTGACTTTCTTATGCAGACTGTGCTAACCTTAGGATACATGTAAACAAATAATATCTCAATTTTTTTTTCCTTTGGAAAGAAATTAAAAACAATAATAGCTCTCTTCGAAATCACAACACAAATTTGATAGCAATGATAGCAATTAACTTTCGTATTAAGAATTGCTATCGATTGCTACTCACAGATGATGTTTAGTTGTTTTAAACGCAATCAGTTATGCTGCTACATTTATTGCTTACAAATTTATGTCTTGACCTTCCCAAGTCTAGGACTTTAATAAGCATTTTCTATCATTTCGTTATCTGTGTTTATATATTTTTGCGTAACAGGCAGGAATTCTGTTGACGCATTAAATTGGTTATTTTCAAAAAGGTGCACCCTGTGCATTCATATGAGGTAATATTGGCGAGAATATGATTATCATATGATATTAACGAAAGAAATAGTTTTTGTTACGTGTTATCACATTTAGTCATATTAAAGCACATAAATTTAAATATGTCTATGATAATGAAAATAGATGTTTATATTTTTTCTCATGCAATGAGTGATACTTTTTCTCAAGTAAAGCAAAAAATGGTCAGCAAGACTTTTCGCTTGCTGTTCTGTTGCTAATAAGTGCATGAGAAAAACAATATTCTTTATAAATATTAGAACTGAATAATTAATATTTATTTAACTGTAATATTTATTCATGATTAATTATAGTATTTATTTATGATTGACTATAATATTTATTTATCATCTATTTCGATAGATAACACCGTATCTTAAATTTTAATTCTGCTTAAACTCAACTATTATATAATCAGTAGCAATTCAGAAAAATACACCATTTGTTCTATCAGCATTTAAAGTGAATTTTGGGTAATACGGTGAATTATATTATACACTTGTCAAAAGTGAAATTCTAAGACTATGAAGGAATTCGCGTAAGGCGATGTGAAAGTAATATTGAGTACTGTTTCAACGCAGTACAAGAGTAACTTGAAAATCCATCATCATTACTAACTCAGCAGTTGCTTCAAATTACTCAGTATAGATAGCGCCACGATATTAGTGAATGTTGCAACTTTGCTGTAGAAACAGGCTTGAACTGAGGGCAACTGAATATTTCAAAAATAAAGCACTTGTTAACTTTAGGCTGAATTGAATAAATAAATAAATAAATAAAGGTATTAAATTTTATTCCCTTTTTACACAACCTATTTTTGCGAACAAGGATTTTCTTCCATGTTATATTTGAAAATGTATATATATATATATATACAGAACAAAATTAAAAGTGGATCCTAATGTACGGTTAAAGCTAAGTGAAATATGACCTGCCACAAAGAAATTGATCTCTCTTAAATAGACCCAAATTTTACAATAATTTCTTGTATTAAAGTATTATAACTTAAATTTTGATAATTAAAATGGTAACCAATTTTTAATCTAATACTTTTTGTGTGTATATTTAATACAAATAGCCAACAGGTTGTACAAATGGGAAAATATATATATATTTTTAACATTTCTATTGAGAAATTGAAAAATAACCATTGTAAAATGTAGTGGTGGTACTAAAATTTTTCAAATTTTGTTTAGAGGGTTCGCGTTAGTTGAAAGGTTGAGAACCGCTGGTATAGACCAGATTAAAATTAAGGAAAAAAAAAAAAATGTTTCTTTAGTCAGGGGCGTCACAGAAGCCGTTTTTTTAGTACGATCAGTTTAAGCATCACGCAAGAGGCCAGCGGGTATCGAGTTTTATTTCGATCCACTACTACAGCAACTTATGATATAGTATATCGCTATTTAACAACTCAGCAGTTGGTTCATAGTGTCAAACATAAATGGCTCGACCAGACTAGCAAGGTGATGACTCCACGATATTCGAAAGGTTTAAATGTACCTGCGGTTTCAAGAACCTACAAAGCTGCCACATATTTTAAAATTAGACGAAAATAAATTTTCAAAAAATGGCAGCTTTAGTAATGTTATCACTGTGCTTAAAGTGACTTTTCTATGTTTAGTCGCATATCTGCTATTTCATAAGCAGTATTTTTTTTTTTTTTTTTTTTTTTTTTTTTTTTGTCGAAGTCTTACAGTTCCTTTATATTAATAATATGTTATATCTAAATAAGTTTTTCACGCTGAAGAATTTTGACATTCATATACATAGGCAATATTAATATCCTTGTTATCTTTTATATTTCATATGTAGCGTGAATGTCCCAAAAGAAGTCATCTAGCGATGTACCTGGGACACTTCTTTTCTACAGAAAATGTATGTGAGGAAATAGTTTCTTAACCCCAATTTATTCTTGATTTCCTTAAACAACTATAAATAAATAGACTAGGACCGCGTTAATCTGATACCCTAGTTCATTAAATTTTTTTAATGATTTAGAAGTAAAAAAAGAATGTGCTAAAAAAAATCTGAAAGCTTTCAGATTTTACATTACGCCCAAAGGTTTTTTTTAACGTTTTTTGTGTTACCTTTATTTATTAAATATCATGTTCGTCGCACTTAAACCATAAAATTCAATTCAACAGCAATATCGCAAAATAATTTTAAAATGAGCATATCTTTTGAATTTCCGATACACAGTCTCGTGCTCAGGAGATATTTTTTTTTTTTTTTTTTTTTCCCGTAGAGATTTGCCGTTGCTCGCTTTGAAATCGTTGAGTTTGTTAATCAAAAATTTGTTAAAGTTTTAAAAAATATGAAATAGATAACAAAACAAATTCTAAATTAGGGTTTCCAGATGCCCATATTCGGTGGAGGAATATGTTATTCAAAATTTGATGGCTCTAGCTAGGTACCGTTGTTTTATCACAATGCGAAATACATATATGTACATTTATGCAGATTCTTCCTTATTTAATTTCTTTAAATATAATATAGGGCTGTAATAATTGGTGGCAAGAATTTGAATAGTGAACCGACACTTGAAGCTTTCAACGTAAAATGACGAAACGAAATTAGTAGCCCTTCTGAGCTAACGCCTAACGCCCTTTGAGCTAAAATAAACAAAGAAATGCATGTGCATTTTCTTCCTTTTTTCCATTTTGCTAAAATGTTTTAATAACGAACTAGATATCGAACTAAAATGCTTGAAAATAAATTTGTGTTCTGTTAAAATAGATAATATAGTTGCCATGAATTAGCCATAATTTTAAACATAAAAATATTCAATTATATGAATTGACTGGGTCTCAGTTGAGATAATCGAGATTGTACAGTAAGGGGCAAAGGGGAAAAATATAAGGATTTCACGGTCAAGCATTAAATTAAAGGCCTGCGATTAATTAAGAGTCATGAGTTGGTACTCTTACAGATTTATAATTAGAATTTAGAGAAAAGAGCGAAGAGTATTTGTAGTATAAGTTATTTTGTACTGCTTTAAGCTGCAATTAGTGAGTTCATATTTTGAGAATCCCCAAAAATGTACTCTTACTTTGAATGATCATCAATTGAGAGTTTATAAACATATGCATTTTTTCAAAATTGAAAATAAAGCTCAGCGTTCATGCAAAGTGGAATCTGTTTATTCTTCTTTCAGATATTTCCCACTTTTAACTACAGGCCTCTTTTTACCCTATTTTTATGATCGATTATATCAAATAATTTTTGTTTCTGCGTATAAGAATAATGCTTTATGGTATGAATTAAGTTTAACCATTATCCAAAACGGTATCCATTATCCAAAACGATGTAGTATTCTATGCAAAAATACTAGATGAGTATTCATAAGTTCATAAGATAATATTCATAAGTTTATCTAATATATATTGCAGAATTCCTAACGCGAAATATTTAAATATCATTAAAATAAATTAGAAGCGTATGAGTATCAACAGAGCTTTGAATACTAGTGAATTCAAGATTATTCAATTTACTGCAAATGTTGAGCGACAAGAGGAACAAACTTCCGTCGTTTGAGATTTTCTGGGAGCTGTATTTTTAAGAAAAATCTTTGGTAATGAGCCCTCAGTTCGAAAAATGCGGCGATATGTATTGTGCGCTGATTTTTGGCGCGACTGTGTGTTCTGCGATGGTTTTGGGAGCGATTGTTGGTTTCTATGGCAACGCTTTTTACGTGAAAACTTGATGCAATGAAAGATATATTGGCAAAATTTTAGTCGTGTGCCTGGTAAAACTATTTTTTCGAGTGGCTGGAAATTCTAGAAGTATTTAGGAGAAGAAGGTTTTGAACATTTATGTGTGAAACATAGTATCAATTTTGCGGATAGTGAGTCTTGGCTGTCGTATAAATATGATAGAGATTACGTGTCGGCATGTTAAAGCTACGTTGCCTACTTATAATCGGAAATGCGAATTTACGTTTTATTTGGTGGTTTATATATATTTTCCATCGTTGTTCTGAAACGGGAGAAGATGCTTTTAAAAAATTTGTGGTGAAACTGGTATTTCTGCTGTTCAAAGAAGCATTCATTCATGGTAAGTGCATTTTATTTTATTCTTGTTCTTATTTTGTAGAATGTTATGTTCATTGTTTTCTGAATATAAATTTCTGTCGTTATTGTTGTCTTTTTGAATTGTTTGAAATTTATTTTAGTTTATTTTGTTAGTTAGTGCGTAATGCCTAGATTGTGCAATTCGTAGATTTTTTTTAAATTTAAACAGAACGCTGTGTACATGGTATTCTTTGAAATTTACTGTTGTTAAGTTAATTTATTTAAGCTAGGTATGCGTAGTTCGTAGATTCCTTTGCTACATAGATTGTGCAATTCTGTGATTTTTTTTAAAGTTAAAACATATCGCTGTGTACATGGATTCTTGCCAAATATTTTTGGTTAGAAAATTTACGTTTTTGCTATCTGAATTTTTTGTTTTTGTTTCGGATTTTTAGCTTAAATTTTGTGTTCA